ATTTGTATTGCTGTAGCACAGGGGTGGCCAGCCTGAGCTTGAGAAGGAGCCAGAATTTGCGAATTTACATTGCCAAAGAGCCACAATAATACATCAGCAACCCCCTACCAGCTCCCCACCCCCAGCTCCCAGAGCCTCCCGCCCACTGGTATCCCTGCCGATCAGTGCCTCCCCCTTCCTCCCCACACCTCCCGATCAGCTGTTTCGTGGAGTGCAGGAGGCTTGGGAGGGCGGGGGGGAGGGCACGGCAGGCTCAGGGGAGGGGGTGGGAAGGGGTGGAGTGAGGGCAGGGCCTGGGGCAGAGCCAGGGGTTGAGCAGTGAGCACCCCTGGCACATTGGAAAGCTGGCACCTGTAGCTCCAGCCCTGGAGTCACTGCCTATACAAGGAGATGCATATGGCTCCGGAGCCACAGGTTGGCCACCCCTGCTGTAGCACCTACAGCCCTACTGTGCTAAGCGCTATGCACACATGTAGTAGGGAACAGACCTGATCCCCCCAGGCTTACTAGGGAAGCCAGACAAAGAATTGAGAAATTAAGCTTCCGTATCCTCATTTAACTGATGGATACCTGAGATTAAGTGACTTGCCTGCAATAACACCAAGAGTCTGGTGCAGAGCCAGGAACTGAACCTAGCTCTCAGGAGCCCCAGTCCTGTGCCCAAACCACAAGCCCATACCATGTTGCCAGGTCTCCCACTCACTCGGACAAGCCCCCTTGCTTGTCTGTGCCTCCCTTCCCCGCTTTGTAGCAACAACGCCCTACCCCAGGCAGGCAGCAATGATCACTAACGTCCAGCATGTGCTTGGAGGTGCTTGGCTCGCAGGGCTGTATTCCTGGCAGCAGCTCACCTGTGCCCAGTGCAGCTATTTCCTCATTAACAGCAATACACGGAATGTGGGCTGACTTTTATGAGGTGGGACATGCTTGATCCAGGAAAGGATCGTAAATCTACCACAGATAAGGGAAGGCTCCTCCTCATAGCGAGGCTACACTCTATGGCACGGTGAAGATGGGTGGAGGGGGGCTTCACTGGCGCCCCAGCCTTTTCCATGCGCCTCTACTCCAGCATACAGTGGCTGGAGCACTCTTTAGCCCTGTCAGAAACCCAGAGGCCTTGGGCAGATTGCTAATTGATTCATTGTAAGGAGTTGCTCTTGAAGCTGCTAATTGAAGAGAGCAGAGCGCGTACTGCAGAGATCGCATTTCCATGAACGCAGTGCCAGCATAATTTCTACATTGCAGCTGGACATGTTGCCAGTTATCAGCCTCCCCTAACAACGAACAGAGAGACGGGAATAATTAATTAACTCACTGCACCTGAGCCAGGCGCAGACCAACCTTTCGGCAACTCTCAAGGAGTAATTGACGTGGGGTTCGTCTTCTGCTGCCATTTCCAGCGGCCTGCCTGGGGCCTTGTGACGCTCAGTGCAGCGTAGCTTCCAACACAGCATATTGTTTTCCTGGAAGCTTTTGAGGCTTCACCAGAACTGCTCCCTCCAGACAGCTAGAAACAGAAGACAAGGTGGAACGCTCAACTTGGCTAAAGCCTTTTTACTGCAGGTTTCGACTGAAGGGTGCTTGTCGAGCAGCATCCTTGCTCCACCAAGGAACATGGCTGCTTGTAAGGAGATAAAGAATAACTGGAACAAGTGCAGCCCAAGCCTCTACTGGACCCTACATGGTCTTCAACCCAGCCTGCCCAGTCCACTTGAAAAACGCGTCTCTGAGTGATAACAGATTTGAGAAAGAGACCCTGATTGTCTGACACAGCCTCTCCTGAAGTGGGGAGACTATCGGTTTTGCCCAGAATAATGGGAATTCCTTCCCTCTGTTCTGTACGATTTTACAGCAGCCTTTGGAAGGTGGGGTTATAGCTGCACAGAGGACAAGGTCTCATTAACACATTCCTTACAATTAATGCTTTGCTGAGCTAGAACATTGAACTCCCACAGACAGATGGGTAATAAGGAGGTGGAGAATCAAGTTGGTAACTGAAAATGTCCAAGTATTTTCTTGATCCACTCTTTCCATTTCTGGTCTAAGTTTTAAGAACAGATATGTTCCTGGTAGCGTATTCTTTGTAGCATCTGCTTTCTTTCTTTCTTTGCGTATTCTTTGTAGCATCTGCTTTCAAGTACCAAGCAATGCAGAAGGCTTATACAGCAAAAAGACAGGAGCAGAGATCTAAGACTGATGTTACAGTGACAAAAGTTTCTTTTATTTTTTTCTTCCCTTTCAGGCAATCTCAGTGACACGAGGGCTTTGACAGTTTGCACCCAGGAAAAAAGAGAAAAATGTCTTTTCCTGCTAATTGTCATTTTAGCCCTTTACTTCACTTTAGAGTAAACACTGATACAAAGACATACAAATAAAGGTTCCAGTGGTTTCCATCAGGCACAGAGCTAGGGGAAATCTCACCAGCTCCATACCATGACTGGCATACAGGTCATCGCTAGAAGTAGTTAACACATGCAGTCCACATTGGAATTAGAGTCACAGATCTTGAGGCCAGAAGGGACGACCAGATCATCCAGTATTACAGGACCCCAACACCACCCAGCACCTGCCCACTAAACCCAACAACCAAAATTAGACCAAAATATCACAGACCTCAGAAGAATAGGAGGGACCAAGGTGCACTAGTGTCCAATGCCTGTGCAATGGCAGGGAATTTATTAGATCAAATGCACCCAGATAATTCTGGCAATTGACCCGCACCCCATACTGCAGAAGAAACTGAAACCCCTCCAAGCTCACTGCCAGTCTGACCTGGGTGGAAAATTCCTTCCCTGCCCCACATACGGTAGTCAGTTAGACTCTGAGCACGTGAGCAAGAACCAGCCAGCCAGCACCTGAGAGAGAGAATTCTCTGTACCACTTCAGAGCACCGGCCAACCCCATCCAGTGTCTCATCTCCAGCTGTGGCCATCTGTGGTGCTTCAGAGGAAGGAGATAACAAAACAAAACCCCAGAATACAACGGGGGAGAATCCTTTCTTGACCCCTGCTGTACCAGTGTTCCTCAAAGGTAGGATACAGACCTTAGGAGATGTCCCCTACCAGCAGTAGTACCAGACTGAGGGCAATATGTGACCCCTGGATGGTCCTCAGTGGGGTCAATGGGGCGGGAGTGGAACCATGGGGTTAGAGCTACAAGGGACTCAGTGTCATGGTATATCTATTGCAGATTGCCTTAATCCAGCCGTGGTACCGTGCCCTCCCCTTTGGATTGTGGAGATCATGCCCATCCCTCTATGCAAGGTCCTGTTAGAAGTGGCAAATGGCAACATCGTCCCCCCGCCCCAGTGTTACCAACTCTCATGATTTTATCCCAAGTCTCGAGATAGTTGGTATTTTTCTTAAAGCCCCACCTCCTGCACTCATGAATTTCTGCTTTCTTTTCTTTTCTTTTCTTTTCTTTTCTTTTCTTTAAAGTAAGTTTCTAGCTGTTTTGGTTTTGGAGAAAACCTGGAGACTGTGACCCCCACCGCCCAAATGGTTTAACACCAGAAGGCAAATAAAAAGCACCCAAAATTTTGGCTTAAAAATCTCATGATTTTTTAGGGCCTGCCTCATCATTTTTCAACACTAGGGATTAGCAACTGTGCTGTAAGGGCCAGATTTTAGGCCCTCAGATGCCCCTTGTACCTGCCCTTTGCAGACACCAACACCCCTGCATGTAGTAAAAACTGAACACACCCTTTAAATAATCGCTCTCAGCAACAGAAGCTCTGTGCAACAGGCTGGTGAGCCACTGCAACAAATCAGAAAAGGAGTACTTGTGGCACCTTAGAGACTAACCAATTTATTTGAGCATGAGCTTTCGTGAGCTACAGCTCACTTCATCAGATGTATACCGTGGAAACTGCAGCAGACTTTATATATACACAGAGAATATGAAACAATACCTCCTCCCACCCCACTGTCCTGCTGGTAATAGCTTATTTAAAGTGATCATCAGGTGGGCCATTTCCAGCATAAATCCAGGTTTTCTCACCCTCCACCCCCCCACACAAATTCACTCTCCTGCTGGTGCTAGCCCATCCAAAGTGACAACTCTTTACATAATCAAGTCGGGCTATTTCCTGCACAAATCCAGGTTTTCTCACATCCCCCCCACCCCCATACACACACAAACTCACTCTCCTGCTTGTAATAGCTCATGTAAACTGACCACTCTCCAAGTTTAAATCCAAGTTAAACCAGAACATCGGGGTGGGGGGTAGGAAAAAACAAGAGGAAACAGGCTACCTTGCATAATGACTTAGCCACTCCCAGTCTCTATTTAAGCCTAAATTAATAGTATCCAATTTGCAAATGAATTCCAATTCAGCAGTTTCTCGCTGGAGTCTGGATTTGAAGTTTTTTTGTTTTAAGATAGCGACGTTCATGTCTGTGATTGCGTGATTGTTAATGTAACACCTCGACTTAGAGGAGATAAACCTGAAATTAGTGAGAGAAGCTCACCTTGCAAACTTCGTGTCCTCAGTTTCTGGGAGCCTAAAGCAACTCACTGAACTTCCATAGTGAGTGAGGTACATAACCCTGAGATAGCCACACTGCCTGAGTAACAACACAGCATCCTGACCCTCTCCACTTTCAAAGTCCTATCCCAGCATGTGGGCTCAGTGTAAAACCTAGGATGGATTCCCTGGGGCAGGCTTCTCTCTGGTTGTTCCAACGTCCTGGTCACGAGTTTGGGGGGATGCCAGATTATCTGTGTATGTTGATTTTCCACTGGCAGGAAATGTGAAAATGGGGCAGATATTCCAGAAAAAGGTTTATAAAAAGTGAAATCACTTTAACGTACAAATCCAGGGATGAATAGGTCCTGCAGGCTAGAAATTCAAAATCAGCAAGGAAATAGTTCAGTAAACAAATAGGTTCTATTCATTTTGAATTTGAAACAGCAGGAAACGGTAACTAAGCATGGAGCTTTCATACCAACCTCAGCTATGGCCAGTTTGCCATTCCCTACTGCAGTCTCTCTGTGCTGTGCACACTTTCCTGCATTCTAGTACAGCCCATTCTCCCCTCTTCTGCTGCTTCTCCTGCTCCTTCAAGCCCATGGGAGACTCTCCCTTCTTTTTGCTTTCTCAGTGGGCTGCACATTCTCACCTTGAAGTGAGTGGAAATGTCAGCTGGAATGTGGGTTTGGGGGGAAAAAAAGAATCTTGATGCTTGTCCAAACCTACTCATGTTTATATTGGAGCCTGTGAGTGACATCAGAGCAGGGAAGAGTATAAACACCAGCAGGACCTTACTCCGAGACTTTTAAAACTGCAAACACATTGCTGCCTCCAAAGTGCCTGGGGACTGATGTGCTGAAGTGCCAGAGAGTAAGGCAGCATGAGAAGCCAACTGGAAAAGCAGCTTCTCTTCTTCTCTCTTCTCTGCGTCCTTTCCAAGGTAAGGAAGCTGGGGGCTTTATTCTTAGTCAAGGAAGCTTTTGGTTCTTACTTACAAAGCAACCTGTAACCAATAGAAACTAGCTTTGTAACTGCAACAATTCAAAGATCTTACCAAGTTTATTAGTATGCATGCTGCAGAATGCATCATATTCATGCAACCCCTTGAAGGTAGAGGCAGAGAGTTCATGACTATCAGGAAAATGTTGAATTAAGTAGCAATGATTTAAAATTAATGAGCCACGTGTATCTCTAGTGCAATTCCACTAAAGACAGAGGAATGACAACAAAGGTAAGTTTGGACCTATATGCATGACCCATCTCCATTATTAATTGTGTCCAAGGCTCCAGCATGCATACCTGCTACCTGCAGACAATTGTATGTAATGGTTTATAGACCTACTTCTCCAGATTCATTGTCCTGCACTGAAGCCTCTGGGGACACAGAGCCAAGTAACCCACACTGCTTTTTCAGGATTACTCAGTCATTATCCAGTTTTCACTCCCAAGATGTAGTGAAGCACATGTACGGATGATGCCTCCTACAGGATTTTGGTTGCTCTAAAACCAAATTTTTTCCTGAATCTGAAGTGCTGTGAGAAACAATTCCCTTTGCAAAGAGCAGGAAAATTTAAAACTTTTGAATTTTTCAGTTGCAAATTTCTTGAAATGCTGCTTGAATTCCTCAAGTTGCACACACCACAAGCATTGAGATCATTGCAATGTGATGCCTGTTTGAATGTTAACCCGCATACTTTTGGCCTTTAATCATTAGGACAAATTGTCATCTAAGGACAAGCTAACTACAAAGGAACAGAGGAAAACAGGATTAATGGAACCAGATCAGATCAATCATCTGGATAATCTTTCCCCAATAGTGGCCTATAATAGATATTTCATAGGAAAATGAAAACCCATTATAAAGATACATCTGGACAAAGCTGTACATGAAGAAAAATTTCTTCCTGACCCTTATAGCTCTCAACTTATTTCCTGAAGAATGATGATTGTTAGCTCTTGTTATTTCATCCTAGTCAGTGTAACTGTAGCTGTTGTACCTATTGTTATTTCTGTAAATCTCACTACGCTTTTTGTCTCAGTAAAACCATAATTAAATAATAGAAGTGTATTAAAGAGGGGACTGTGCTAGCTATCTTGGATACATTTGACTCTCGCGCCTGCCACTGAAGTTACTACAGGGAGATAAAGGGTCATCATGTGAGTGGCACTGCTGCTGATGAGGAAAATAAACAGCAGCACCAAGATCCACTCTGTCCAGGTGTAGGCTGCAGAATGGGAGGGTGTTGCTATGAAACATGCTGCTAATGAAAGAGGGAAAGGAAGATGGTAATTAATATGAACATTCCAGTGGAATCCACGGATTGCTTCCCTCGTTGTCAGTCACAGCAGAGAAGCCAAGGTCTGAATCAGCATGGAGACTGAACTCTGCTCTGGCTTCATTTAGTAGGCAGGAATGCATGGCACATTGGTAGGGGTAGTGTGCGTTCTCAAGAAATTTACTCTGCTGCTGTTCATGTTGTACACAAGGGGGCTATCAATCCAGCATTTTTCACCAGCAATGAATTCACTTGAAAAATACAAATGAATAGCTCCTGATATTTTTTCTGTGATAACATATTAATGTTCACAGCCAGATTTGCAAACAGGGACCTTCCTGTGTCTGTGAAATATATTTGCACACAGGTAATTGTGCATGCAGAATGGATACTGGATATTTATATCTATCTACCTACCTAAACTCCAGCAGGTCACTGCACTGCAAATCAGCTGACTGTCCATGCAAACAGGCATTTGTGCAAAAACTTTCCTAAGCAATTATCCATTCTATCTGAGAGCTATATTTTCCAAGCACAACTAAGTTTCCGTTGTTTGAAAATTTCAGCCAAGTGTGCCACTTGCACAACTGGCCAAATTGGTGCAGAGGCTGCAGCAGCTGGGGCTCAGAACATCACTAAGGACACACTAGGGGCCAAAGCAAGAAGTAGTGACACTCGTTTAGTTTCACTCATTTGATTAAGCAAGCCTAATTTTGGGTACCCATAGAAGATGGTAAGATGTCCCACTGGTCTGATACGATGTAATGCCTGCAGGGAAGCTGTTCCAATGTACTACTGTATGTCAATAACTCACATTTTAACCGCTCCACAACAGTACAGACCGGCACAGCTTATACAATGTAACACACTTAGGAGCTGTTGTCTAACACCTGCATCTTTTTTGCACAGCCACACTGTGTTGGTGTGTAGAGTTGTTGTTGGGCCAAGTCCTGAGGCTGTGACTCAGTTTCTATTCAGTCCTTACTGCCTGTTCTCAGGCTAAACTCCCATTAAAGTACCAAAATGGTAACAATACTTAATGCTTACCTAGTACTTTACATTTTCAAAGTACTGTGTAAAAAATAATTAACTCAAACCCCTGTTCCAGGGCAGGTCAGTATTATCAACCTCATTTTACCAATGGGGAAACTGAGGCACAAAGCCATTATGTGACATTCCCAAGGCCTCACTGCAAAACATGGTCATTAAGGTTAGGGGGAAAGAGAGGGAGACTCAGGTACTGGAGGAAATAAAGAGACAATGCAGTAAGACCAATTCTCATTGGTTTGTTAAATCAAAACTGGACCAGTACATTAAGCCCCCTGCAATTCATTCTGAGTAATTTCTAATCTGGGGCTTAATGCTGTGCAGTGCTGAGCATCCTTGAATCTCATTGGTTTCTGTGGGGGCTGAAGATGCTCAGAATCTTGTGGTATCAAGCCCTATAGGAACAGTTGTTTTCAGATCTATCTTGAAGCCTCTCTGTGGAATGCAGAGTCTCCTGAGTCATGCTGGGAACAAAACCCTGACCCCCATGAAATTAAACCCCTAGCAAGCCTGAGGTGAACTCAGTGGGATTCACTGTAAGGTTGCAGCATCAAGCTAAGGAAAAACCCTTTGTGAACACTTATGGTTTTGCTTCCGCAGGTCTGTACTCAGCTGTGCCGGACACCATGTTACTGCCCCTGGATCCCGCCCCGCTGCCCTCCCGGCTCCCCTCTGGTTCTGGACGGATGCGGCTGCTGCAGGATATGCGCGCGACGGCTGGGAGAGCCCTGCAATCACCTCAATGTGTGTGATCGGAGCCAGGGCCTCATCTGTGATTACAGTGATGCCCGCCTGGAGAGAGGAGGAACCTGCAACTGTGAGCACATTCCTCTCACTCTTTTCATTAAAGCCTGGCTGACACCGGGGGAACATCTCCCCCAAATCCCAGCCTGTTCAGCTAACCCCATCCTAAAACGGTTGGGAGCTGCAGCCAGACCAGGTAGCCTGACCCGCTGTCAGGGGAGTGGTTAATAAAAAGTGGTTCTGGACCCCTGGTGTCTGCTGTGCGCTGTAGCTCAAACCAGTTTGCAAGATGGTTTTGCTGACCTGGTTTCAAAGCCAGTTAGAATTTTGAGGGAAATGTCCCCAGTATCAACCAACCCACAGAGCTAGCAAAGGAAACAACTGTCCCAGGGTAGAGAGGGCTGAAATTTATCTGGAACATGCTTATATGGAACCCCAGATCCGACATTTAACCCCCAAAACATGCCTGTTAAACAAAGGCTCTGACCTCAGCGCAGGGAACAGACACAGTTTTATGCCACATCATCAACTTCTGTTCTATCTGGAGTTCTCACAGGAGCGTAAACAAACTCAACAAACACTCCTTGAGTTCCTGTCCTCCTCCGAGAGCTCAAGTCAGCTGACAGGGATGTGAGCTGAGCAAACATCAAACCTTCCCCGGTTACAAGAGCTAATGGGCAACGGAATCACTTCCTTTGGGGGGTTCCCAAGAAATGGCAGTTGCTGCTAGTTTGGAGGACTTACCTGTCTTTTTTAGGTATTTCTGGGATGCTCAATACCATAGTACCTAAGCTCCCATACCACTGGGCTTTGTGCTGTGCTAGGGGGCAGTAGGGCTGTCACAGTCCTAAAACTTTGCAGACATGAAGGACATTTGCAAAGTAAAGTGTTCATGGTTCTCTCGTAGGCTGATGAACCTCTTCTCTGAGCAATTCACAAGGAAGCAGGCGAGAAGGTTGGGAAGGAGGATGGGACCCCTTTGGAGGAGAAGCAATAGACTCTATTGAGAAGCTCTTCTCTCTCTCTCTTTCTGTCTGTTGCTCTCACACACACACACAGACACACACTCTTCAATCACTCTCTCAGTGGCCTGACACTCTTCAGTCCAATTCAATCTTAGTTTATCCCTTCAGGACCCTCTCAGGCAAGAACACAGCTTCCTACAATCCCACATAGGGTACATCTCTGCCAGGGTACATTTCTCCTGCTGATGACACATTTCTCCTGCCGATGACACAGGCAATGAGAATAGGGTCCTGTCCTACACCTGCTCCCCTTCTATCTTCTCAAATGAGACCTTCAAAGCACATGGGCCATGGGACCATGTGGCTGCTGCTCCTCAAAAGTACTTTCCATCCAGGGGAAGCTGGCACAGCCTGTACCACTTTTAAGGCTTAGTTTACACTACACTACAGAGTTAGGTCGATGTAAGGCAGCTTATATCAACCTAACTCTGTAAGTGTCTACACTAAAATGTCTCTCCCACTGATGTAACTCGCCCATGACACCAACTCACTAACTCCACCCCTGCAAGAGGAGTAGCACTTAGGTCAATGTAGTTAGGTTGACACGGTGTCAGTGTAACACTGTGTTCCTTACATCAACTGTTGTGGCCTTCACAAGCCATCCCACAATTCCCCACACTGACAGTTAAATGGGCACAAACGCTCCTGGTTAGGGGACATACTGCCAACACAAGGAGTGAAGTTTGTTCAATATCTTCATAAATGATCTGGAGGATGGTGTGAATTGCACTCTCAGCAAATTTGCGGATGATACTAAACTGGGAGGAGTGGTAGATACGCTGGAGGGCAGGGATAGGATACAGAGGGACCTAGACAAATTGGAGGATTGGGCCAAAAGAAATCCGATGAGATTCAATAAGGATAAGTGCAGGGTCCTGCACTTAGGACGGAAGAACCCAAGGCACAGCTACAGACTAGGGACCGAATGGCTAGGCAGCAGTTCTGCGGAAAAGGACCTAGGGGTGACAGTGGACGAGAAGCTGGATATGAGTCAGCAGTGTGCCTTGTTGCCAAGAAGGCCAATGGCATTTTGGGATGTATAAGTAGGGGCATAGCAAGTAGATCGAGGGACGTGATCGTCCCCCTCTATTCAACATTGGTGAGGCCTCATCTGGAGTACTGTGTCCAGTTTTGGGCCCCACACTACAAGAAGGATGTGGATAAATTGGGGAGAGTCTAGCGAAGGGCAACAAAAATGATTAGGGGGCTGGGGCACATGACTTATGATGAGAGGCTGAGGGAACTGGTATTGTTTAGTCTGCAGAAGAGAAGAATGAGGGGGGATTTGATAGCTGCTTTCAACTACCTGAGAGGTGGTTCCAGAGAGGACGGTTCTAGACTATTCTCAGTGGTAGAAGTGGACAGGACAAGGAGTAATGGTCTCAAGTTGCAGTGGGGGCGGTTTAGGTTGGATATTAGGAAAAACTTTTTCACTAGGAGGGTGGTGAAACACTGGAATGTGTTACCTAGGGAGGTGGTAGAATCTCCTTCCTTAGAAGTTTTTAAGGTCAGGCTTGACAAAGCCCTGGCTGGGATGATTTAATTGGGGATTGGTCCTGCTTTGAGCAGGGGGGTTGGACTAGATGACCTCCTGATGTCCCTTCCAACCCTGATATTCTATGATTCTATGACATGTAAAAGCGATTCAATTACTGCAGTTGGTTGCACATCAATGTAACTTAGGTTGACTTAATTTTGTACTGCAGACTTGCCCCAAGAGGAAGTCTTTGGGGTTCTGACTCCACCCAGAACAGGGGAGGCAGCAGCCTGAGAGCTTTACATTCAGTGTGTCAATCATATTGTGAGCGACTCCCTCTCAAGAGAAACGCAGCAAAACTCCAGTTGTCTTGTTCCTTGCTCCAGTGAGGAATCCCCTACAAGAGCTGCTGCCTGTGGCCAGTGACGGTCCAGGTTCCAGGCTCAGCTGAGGAAATGGGCTGGATGCACACAGAATGAGCTCAGCCTCTGATGAGGGATTCTGGTGAGCTGCCCCAGTGGCTGGCTGCTACCACCTGGCAGCAGAGAATACTAAGAAGTCTGGACTTTGAGTGTCCCTGCAGAACGTGCTACACACTGATGGTTATTATTTATTTATTAGTTAGTGCTGGTCCAATGATTCATCGTGAATAAATTATCCGACGCATTTTGGCATTTGTCTCAGAACTAAGCACACATCATTGTTTTCATTCTCTCACCAGCTCCGCAGAGGGACAAAAGTTATTCTTTAAAGAATTAATCCAAGAGTTCTTTGCACTAAAAGGTTTATTTAAAAATAAATTACATCACTATTAGACCAGCTCTATTCTTATTTAATATTTATATCCGGTACCACAAGCATGCATGGTGGTCAACAGAGAAAATTCAGCTACTTCTCTTTGTCCAGGCACTTACATTGTGATCACCACCCCCTGAGCCAGGAGAAATACGCAATACCTGGCATGAGGAGCTCACCAGATAGACACTGTAGTTTATCACAGCCCCAGCAAAGCCAACCACCTGGCTAATCTGGTCGGTTACCTCCTTCACCTAGCCATTCTGGGCCAGATGCAAAGCCCTTTGGAATTAATGGAAAGACACTCTGATTTCAGTGGGCTTTGGATCAGACCCTAAGCTGAGCCCACAAATAACGGAGTCCCCTTTGTAATTATTGTATGTTTGCCCTCAGTGGAACCTGAGTCCTTCTCTCTGTGTTTGATTGGTCGCTTTGTTACGATTGGGTTACTCTGGGTGTTGGTTGCAGTTGAGGAGGGAGACGACAGCTGCGAGGTGAATGGAAAGGTCTATCAAGACGGTGAGGTGTTCCAGCCCAGCTGTAAGATCCAGTGCCGCTGCTCAGACGGAGGTTTTACCTGCGTTCCCCTCTGCAGTGAGGATGTCCGCCTGCCCACTCCGGACTGTCCCCATCCGAGGCGTGTGGCGGTCCCAGGGAAGTGCTGTCAGGAATGGATCTGTGAGAAGCAAAACAGTCACTTCCTTCAGGATGCCAAGCCAGGTAAAGTCCTGAGTGCCCTTATAGGTAAAGTAACATCCCTGGAAGGTACATTCACCACTGAAAGGGTTAAACCAAATGAAACCTGTTCTTGCAATTGGGTTCCTTACATTGTGTAACCTGCAACAGTGAGCAACTAAGCAACAGTACCTAAAAATGCCTTATCTTTGTTCTGGAGGGAGCCCTCTAAGGGTGGGATGACAGATCAATCTATATCAGTGGTTCTCAAACTTTTGTACTGGTGACCCCTTTCACACAGCAAGTCTCTGAGTGCGACCCCCCCTAATAAATTAAAAACACTTTTTAATATATTTACCACCATTATAAATGCTGGAGGCAAAGCGGGGTTTGGGTGGAGGCTGACAGCTCGCGACCCCTGAGATAATAACCTCACGACCCCCAGTTTGAGAACCCCTGGTCTACATGGCCCATTCACTCATCAACCTCGGACAGCAAAAGGAGAAACCCCACCCCCAACTCCTTTCACAGACTGCAGGTGCTCCTTGGTCACTACCAGCCTGAGCTGGATTCGTACCACTGACCCAGAGCAAAGTACATTTGTGTGTGGCTTAAAAGTCTCTTTCCATGTCCAGCGCTTAGGCCGCCTGGGACAGCATCAGCAAGCTTTTCCTACCTCTGTGAAGCATGGAGCACAGAGTGGAGTGCCTGCTCTGCAACCTGTGGCATGGGGATTTCTACACGGGTGTCAAACCAGAATCGGTACTGCAGGCTCGAAACTCACCAACGTTTGTGCATGCTTAGACCCTGCCAGGCTCTCCCAGGAACATCTAATACAGTAAGTGCTGGGCTTCAGCCAGTAAAACACTGCTAGCAGGTCTGTAGTTGGCAACAGATTTTATAGAAAAAGGAAATCCCAACCACCACTCTGGCATAAGAACCACTGTAACCCTCTTAGCCGCCTGTGCACACACATGCACCAGTCACAAGCTAGCTGTGTGCCAGGGTAAGCTTCTCAGAAAGGCTGTCTCCTTTTTGCAAGCACAAACTGCAGCTAGAAAATCCAAACCTGAAACTAAACTGAGTGGTGCAAACCTGAGTTTTTGCCCACGAACTATGTGACTCCAAGAGCAGTGAAGGGTCCAACATTACCCAGAGACTGCTAATGGAATTGGCAAAGCCTGGACATACCCTCTGACAGAAGGTGCATTCACAACTCCCCTGATCCCCTGATGTTTTCTCCTTATTATCAGTGTCATCTACATCAAATCGGGACTGAGCTGAAGCCAGTTTGATCCCAGGAATAATAGAGCTTTTTATTAAGCTATGAACCCCTCAAAAGAATGTCTGTGACATTCACTTGGAAGTTTGAAGTGGCAAACTAATGTGCCATTGTGGGCCTTCCCTCCTTTATCGGCTACCTTTTAATACCTCCTGTGAGTAGCGTTAGCTGTCACCATCCTACAGGGTAAGTTATGCTCACACTAAGGACTGGCCTACCCAATGACTTTTGTACTGGTCTAACTAAGTCAGTTGGGGGTGTGATTTTTCTTAAATCAATATACAGTATACTGCTGTTTATCCAAAATCATATTATCCAAACCTCTGCATTATTTGAATTCCTTCCTTATCCCCCAGCATGACATACATCAGTGGCTCTCAACCTTTCCAGAGTACTGTACCCCTTTCAGGAGTCTGATTTGTCTCACGTATCCCCAAGTTTCACCTCATTTAAAAACTACTTGCTTACAAAATCAGACGTAAAAATACAAATGTGTCACAGCACACTATTACTGAAAAATTGCTGACTTTCTCATTTTTACCATATAATTATAAAATAAATCAATTGGAATATAAATATTGTACTTACATTTCAGTGTATGGTATATAGAGCAGTATAAACAAGTCATTGTATGAAATTTTAGTTTGTTTGTACTTTGCTAGTGCTTTTTATGTATGTTGTAAAACTAGGCAAATATCTAGATACGCTGATGTGCCCCCTGGAAGACCTCTGTGTACCCCCAGTGGTACATGTACCCCAGGTTGAGAACCACTGGCATACATGACATACATGCCCTCTGCTTGGTGTGGAACCAGGAAGGGATTTGGATAATGCAGAGGTTTAGATAATACACCAGAGACAACCCTGGCCAGGACTGTGATGAGGAAGAGGAGAACAATCTTATTTAATCTTTTTATTACTGACGTTGGCACAAAAAGTGGGAATGTGCTAATGAAGTTTGTGGATGACACAAAGCTGGGAGGTGTTGCCAATACAGAGAAGAACCGGGATATCATACAAGAAGATCTGGATGACCTTGTAACTGGAGTAATAGTAATAGTATGAAATTTAATAGTGAAAAGTGCAAGGTCATACATTTAGGGATTAATAACAAGAATTTTTGTTATAAGCTGGGAATGCATCAGTTGGAAGTAACAGAGGAGGAGAAGGACCTCGGAGTATTGGTTGATCACAGGATGACTATGAGCCGCCAATGTGATATGGCTGTCAAAAAAGCTAATGCAGTCTTGAGATGCATCAGAAGAGGTATTTCCAGTCGAGATAAGGAGGTGTTAGTACCATTATACAAGGCACTGGTGAGACCTCACCTGGAACACTGTGTGCAGTTCTGGTCTCCCACGTTTAAGAAGGATGAATTCAAACTGGAACAGGTACAGAGAAGGGCTACTAGGATGATCCGAGGAATGGAAAACCTGTCTTTTGAAAGGAGACTCAAAGAGCTTGGCTTGTTTAGCCTAACCAAAAGAAGGTTGAGGGGAGATATGATTGCTCTCTAAAAATATGTCAGAGGGATAAATTCCAGGGAGGGAGAGGAATTATTTAAGCTCAGTACCAATGTGGACACAAGAATAAATGGATATAAACTGGCCTTCAGGAAGTTTAGACTTGAAATTAGATGAAGGTTTCTAACCATCAGAGGAGTGAAGTTCTGGAACTGCCTTCCAAGGGAAGCAGTGGGGGCAAATGACATATCTGGCTTCTAGACAAAGCTTGATAAGTTTATGGAGGAGATGATATGATGGGTAGCCTAATTTTGGCAATGAATTGATCTTTGACTATTAGCGGTAAATAAGCCAAATGGCCTGTGATGGGATGTTAGATGGGGTGGGATCTGAGTTACTACAGAGAATTCTTTCCTGGGTGTCTGGTCGGTGAGTCTTGCCCACATGCTCAGGGTTTAGCTGATCGCCATATTTGGGGTCAGGAAGGATTTTTCCTCCACGGCAGATTGGCAGAGGCCCTGGGAGTTTTTCGCCTTCCTCTGCAGCGTGGGGCACGGGTCACTTGCTAGAGGATTCTTTGCACCTTCAAGTCTTTAAACCATGATTTGAGGACTTCAATAGCTCAGACATAGGTTAGGGGTTTGTTACAGGAGTGGGTGGGTGAGATTCTGTGGCCTACGATGTGCAGGAGGTCAGACTAGATGATCATAGTCGTCCCTTCTGCCCTTAAACTCTATGATTTTATGATTCTATGTGGCACCAATCTTACGCCTGCAAAATGAATTGCAGGCACAAGTCTGAGCATTTGCCCCTCTAACTACTTGATTTGTGTCTGCAATGCAATTGCAGACATAGAAGTGGGGGGTGCAAATTCCTCCCATAAAGGGAGAAAGTCCTTTTGGAAATCTGGCCCACAGAATGTAAAGAGAAGTCAACAGGAGGTAGAGTTACACATCATTGTCTGTGTAAGGGCTCTTCTAAACACAAAAGTTGTACTGAATATAAATACATATTTGGTGGGTACAGAAAGAGAAGGCAGGCAGCAGCCTGGAGAAAATGTTGGTCTACCTGCTTGTGTTAAATGGAGTTAGTTCTGGCACACATGTGGTGGGGATGGTGAAGCATGACTCTAGACATAATTACTAAGCAGTATCAATGGGCCAGAGGGCAGATGCTATCCCAGACATCATCTGCCTTTGAAGAAAATAGTATTCCGACTCCCAGGATGATTGCAGGATAATAAATTCAGGTGATCTGTGATGTCCCTGAAGTTAAAGCACAGCAGTGACATCCGGTTAGGAGGCCATGAGAGATTCCTCTCCAATGAACAGGTCATTCTCACTCAGGTTTAAGAGACATGTCACTGATAGAGACAGTAGAGAAACAATTCTAAGATGCTTTAGTCTCCGGGTTGTCTGTACATTGTCAGTGGGTAAGAGAAAAGTTACACTGTCTGCTCTGTCTTTCCAGAGGGCAAGAGGAGGTGGTTTGTAGCCCCGCCCACACAGTTCAGATTTTGGTGTCAAGACTTCATCTCAGACTGACCCAAGCCCAGGTTGCTACGGTTGCAGCAGAAATGGGTGTTCTACCCCCAATGAAGCTAGGGAAGAACTGACTGACTTCAGCTGCAAAGGAGGATGAAGAATCTGGAACAAGATCCCTGGCCTCTTGCTCGTGCCCATTATGGTTTCTCTAGACAATGTGGGGAAATCCTGCGAGGTGTATTTTAAACCGTGCAGTGGCAACGTAAGCTTATTGCCAGCTTGTGACCGCTGTTGTAGTATGTCCCTTGGAAATGATGCTGTGTGGGTACAGTCACTCATGGGATCATGCATGATCCCCTCTGTGGGAGAGTAATTATAATGCCCCAGCAGGCCAGGCTGTCACTGCTTTTCCAAGTAGGTTTTTATCATTCAGAATTAAGCAATGGGGTTAGTCTGGAGTTAGCTTTGTATGTGGAGTCTGGAGCTGTCACTCTCAGGCAGGTTCTGGCTACCCGCGTGAAGGGATCTCTTAGGAGTGCCGGGATCCCCCAGGAAATGCTCAAATGGAGCAGTCACTGCAGTAGGGGAGGCAAGGAGGGTACAGTAAAGCTGGATCTTCAGACACAAATGTGCTCGGCGTTCCGGGATGGCTCCAAGGCTCACTGAAGTCGATGGACAGACTCCCATTGATGTCAGTGGGCTTTGGCTCAGGCCCTGAGAGTGCTGAAGAGCGCAATTCCCTGTACATGGATTTTAAAGCATTATTAAAGGTTAGCAGATCTCTGCCTCTCCTCTGTCTGTATTAGGGTCCCATATGGAATGCTCGGCTATCAGCACTGCCTATGGGAACGTCTGGCTCGGACTATCCCAATGCGTGCTCTAAAGCAGTGAATGCCTTCCCAAGCTCTGGGGCAGTATCCACAGCATCACGGGTGCTTCAGCGCATAAGCACCAACTCCCTGGGTGCTCTGGGGCTGGAGCACCCATGGGGAAAAATTGGTGGGTGTTCTGCACCCACCGGCAGTCAAGCTCCCCACCCCGCCCCAGCTCACCTCATCTCCACCTCTGTCTCCTCCCCTGAGCGTGCCGGGTCCCCGCTTCTCCTCCCAGTGCTTGCCGCTGCGAAACAGCTTGTTTCGCAGCATAACAAGCTCTAGGAGGGAGGGGGAGGAGCGGGGAATGCGGCGCGCTCAGGGGAAGAGGTGGGCCTGGGGCGGGGATTTGGGGAAGGGGTTGGAATAGGGACAGGGAGGGGTCAGAGTTGGGCTGGTGACTTTGGGGAAGGGGTTGGAATGGGGGTGGGACGGGTGGAGTCGGGGCAGGGGGGGCGTCGAGCACCCACCAGCACCAGAGAAGTCGGAGCCTATGCTTCAGCGGCCTTTGCAATTGGTACTCTAGGATCCCCTCTCTATCTTGGGATGAGTCTCTATGCTGGGCCTACTTTCCATTTGATTGTGCGCCTTCCATAGAGCTTCGGCTGCTCACCACTGTGAGACAGGAGCATGAAGCAGGCCAAGCGCCACAGGGTAGATACTGTCAAATGGAAGCAATCATTACCTGCTGGTAGAACATGACTCAGAGTCCATTAACTTGGCACAGTTGCCCAGAAAAAGTTTGGGAACTTCTATATTGAAGTATGAATAAAAAACCAAAACGTTTAGAACAAGAAATAGGTATGGCCACCCCAAATCCTTCTACTTCTCCAGATGTAGCCTGCAAGGAGGGGAATGCTTCTTTCCAAGGTCTGGGGATGATTTCTTGATATATTTCTTACTGGCCAGATTTTCAAAGGCCCAACATGCCTGCAGCCAACTCCTGATACACGTATACATTAGGGTTTGTGCACACACAAGTGAGGGGTGCATCAACCATGCTGCTCCTTCACCCAAATGTCACACATACTGCTCTGCTTTGTTTTAATTTGCCAGCTAATGCCAAGACATTGATTGTCTCAAACATTAGAAAAAACACCGTAGGGAACAATTCTGTACGGACCTTCAGGGAAAGGACTAGATGGCACCTAATACCATAAGTTCTTATCTCTGATTTGTACAGTTCTATGATTCACATACAATCAGCTCATTATATCCAGCTACTAACACAAATAAATAGCACATATTCAAATTGTCATCAGAACAGGAGTCTTCCTTATGATAGTTTTAATTCACCTTTCTTCTCTGAAAATACTTCCCTCTGAAAGTAACAATGAGGTTCCTATCCAGCAGAAAACATTCTCTTTAGCATCGCTGCATTCCGTCTACAATACCAGTGGCTTGGCATGTCTTTCAACCAGGCAAACAAGGAATTCACACACTGGTGATCCCATTCCGAAGCTCCGGACATGCCACCTAATATCCAAGCACAAAAACCTAAAGTCCATGGCCAAAAGAAAGGCAGCAAAACAGCAAACGAACCACAAAGCTGGGAAAGGGCCATCTTCAAACACGGAGGGGCTGTTCCAGCAGGAGCAGCTGAGGAGAGTTATTCTGCAGGCAGCCTGAGCTTTATTTTCTCAGAGTGATAATCTTTTAGGGTTATTCAAAACTGAAGTTTAAATGCCCTCTAATGGCCTTGATTTAAATCTGCAGAGGCAACACACTTCTCATCCCATGGACAAATGTGAATTGCAACTAGAACAGAGCTGTGTTTAAGACTATGAATCCAGACAAGATCTGGCAATTTCAGTTTTGTTTTTGTGAATCTGAAAATAAAAATGTGCTCACCTAGCTGCATAGATTGTATTAGTGCATCTCTTAAAGAGAGTGGGCCCTGTTCTGATCTCACACTAGTTTTACGCTGGTGAATCTTCACTAACATCAGTGGCGTTATACCTGATTTACACTAGTGTAAATGAGATCAGAATCAGGCCCAAACAGCTTGGATATGTCTGCAATTCAGGAAGCTTAAATTTTGATAAGAGAAACGCAGGCAAAATAAAAACATTTAAAATTTCATAACATTTTGTCAGCTGTTTGCTGCCTCTCAATGTTTCTTAAACACTGTTAAATCTTTCCATTACATTGGTTTCTATTTTAATTTGCTATATTTCTGTATACATACATCTGTACCAGCTGGGGTGTACATGGATGAATAGTATTATTATTATTTGTATTACTGTGTCACTTAGGAGTCCCAGCCATGGACCAGACGCCATTGAGTTAGGCACTGGACAAACAGAAAAAAAAGATGATGATGTGTGCATGTATCTGTATGTGTTGTACCTGTTGGACTGTGGCTATATCTTTAGGCAGGCACACAAATGATTGAGTTGTGTGTATATGCATTAGTTTGTGCCTCTGTACATGGACCAATATTTTTCCACATTTTGGGCTGCCTAAATGTCATCATCAGAGTTGATCCCCCTCCTACCACACACACACACACACACGTGAACACAGCACCAAAATATACACCTGGGAGTGCAGAAACAAAAGTCTGAACAACAGATGGTACTTGTCTCTCCTGCAGACAGAGCACAGCTGCCAAAGGTGAAACTGACCTGTGGTTGGCTGAGAAGTGTGCAATGCTCACTGAAAAATATGCGTAACTCTAGTCATACTCTTTGTTAACCAGCAGAGTACAGTGCATTTCAAGCCATGGAGTAAATCTCTTTGGAATGCTTTCTTTAAACACATTATGTCTCTATGAAATGTGGGTACTCTTTGTTCATTAAGGTGACCCCTTTTGATAAAATATGTTGACAATTTTGATCCATGTCCCTGTATATAGATAACTGGTGAAAAACATGTCTGATGTTTTTCAGTCAGCTGTACAGAAAAATGGAGCATAGCTTATTGCACATGCAATAAGAACTTATAATTAATTCTCTTTGGTACCTTTATTAAATACTTTTCAAATGTTGCTCAAATTCATCTCTTACACTGATAAAAAAATCCACGGCTCACAGTTTTTGAAAGGAAACCTGAAATTCTTATCTCAACTACTACTGACTCAATATACCTCTTTGCTATCCTTTATTTTTTCAGCAAGATGCCATTTCTCACTGATTAGCTAAGCAGGAAATATCTATATAATAAATGAATACATGCAAATGAACTGGAAAGATTGTTCTTTCCATAGAATGCAGTGTAACCAACTCTTGTAATTTAATTGTGAGGTTCACAATATTTGGTGTTTTTAAGAAGACCCCCTTGCTCACTGCACACGTGATTAGGTGAGAACCTCAGGTCTCATTTTTTAAAGAAGAGTAAGTTTCTCGTCCTCATAGTTGTGGAGAAAAGCTTGAAAAGGTCACCCTTAATGCTCAAAGCCAGAAGGCAAATCAAAACTCTAATGTATTGTTTTTAAAAATTTCCTGATTTTTGTGCAAGTCTCAGAATAGGGCCTGGTTTCTGATTTTTGAATGGTTGGGGTTGTTCACAGAATCCTAGAAGGGGGAAGCCAAACCAAACTAACAAAAAGTCCCCTTTAAGAATGCATCCAAACCAACCCAGCTACCAGAATGCCTAGTTCTTTTATTGTTTTGGGACTGAGATAGGCTTTCTCCCTTTCCTTTGGGTGCTGGGTCAAAGAAGGAACCACTTAACCCTCTTCATAAGACCCTTAGCTCAAAGCCACCAAACTTACAGTCAGAGAAACAAAGCATCTAGGAGCCAGGCTTATGATCTGACTGTCTACACCTTGTAATAACAACCATACCCCCTCTCTCACTCAGCTTCCTTTTCCTGTTTATATAGCCCAGCCCCCAGGGTGTGGCAGGGTGCTCCTTGAGTGCACTCACGCTATGTTGGCTGTAAGCTTCAGACAGTTTCTTAAAGAGGTAGCACACCCTGCCACGGTTTGGCAGGACTGGGAATGGGCTGGCACTGACATGCTCATTACAGCTGAGTATTTGCAGTCACCTTCCTTAATACCTTGAGCTGGTAAGTAAATGGCCTTGAATCTATTACCTGAATAGTCTGGGATTGCACCAAATTTGCTAACATTAGTAATAAACATATTATTCATCAAAGCAATGAGATGAGGATGGTGATAATCCTGATATAACCCCTTTCTACCTGTCAACTGTAACTGTAAGGTACCCTAAGGCAGTGATTTTCAAACTTTTTTTCTGGTGACCCAGTTGAAGAATATTGTTAACACCTGCAACCCAGTGGAGCCAGACCTGCTGCTGGCCACTTCCGGGGCACAGGGTGGTGTCAGAGCAGGTAGGAACTAGCCTGCCTTGGCCAGGCAGCACCACTGATGGGACTTTTTGCAGAGCAGTCGGCAGTGCTGACCAGAGGCGCCGCAACTCAGTGCCTTCCATTCCGCGACCCAGTACTGAGTCGCAACCCGCGGTTTGAAAACCACTGCCCTAAGGATCACTACCCGAAACTCCTTGTGGTGAAGGAAGGCAGGAGAGACTGTGTAGGACAGAAGGTTGTTTTCCTGGTTAATATCTCCTGTCTGCACTGTTCCAGGATTCTTGTGCCAAAGTCCCAGCCATCTGTACCTCTACTATCAGGCAAACTTTGGCCCACAATAATGGAAAGAATAAATTTTATTTATATGGTAACCACTTCACATTCCCTCCTATCAAAGGTAAGCCATAGAAACTTAGTTGGGGGTTGCTCCTAGTAACTTGACTTTACCACATAGTCATTTAATAATCCATATCCTCCTGCAGAACAATTTCAGCTCTGTGAAGAATCTGTTGTCTCTCTGAATCCAAGATAGATACCTATAATTAGTACCACTTTGGCAAACCCTCTTATCTAGGGGAGTCCAACTTCTGCCAGTACTTAGGTGACATTTCCCAAACTTACGCAAATTGCTAGTACATGTGTCGCAGGGAACCAGCCGGCTTATCTTCTCTATCTCTAATTTCTACATGTCACAGACCTGGTAAAGTTACCTCCACTTCTTCTTAGGACACTCACCAGGCTACTGTGTTTGGGTCCCAGCATGTTGGACCTGTGTGCTCTTAAGTGTCCCTCTGTTTGGGTAGGCTCAGCATTGACTCTTTCTCTGGTCTCTCTGGCATGCTTCCTGGGCACAGAATCTGATGTTCACCCCTTCATGGAAGTGGGAACCTCACAGACCAGTGTAGCTGGACGTGGCCCCATCCATGGCTTGGCCTTTGCCAGGCAGGAGCAGCTTCTGCTCCATGGGGAGGAAGAGCTGCCCATGCCCCCCCCCGGCCTTTCAAGCTGTCTATGTGTCTCTGTAAGCTTCCTGTACCTTGCAGTTTGCACAGTTCTTGTCTGAACCACAAGCTGCAACAGAAGTCCTCGCTGATGTGACAGGCTTGCTTAAAT